TGATCTCTTGACTGCTTCTTCCATGACTATTGATTATGAATCCAAGCAAGATGAAATCCTTGACAACTTCAACCTTTTCTCTATCATGATGCTACCAATTGGTGCAGTAAACCATGATTTTTTGATTCAAAATAGACAATACCAGTCCATTTTAGATCACTGATGCCTAAAATATCAATGTTTATGCTTTTCATTTCATTTCTGTGAACTTCCAAGATGCCTAGATTCCAACTATGGACTGTCCAAGTTCCAATAATTAATAAATGTTTGCACTGTTTCTTCTCATTTTGAGCCAGGCCCCATTTAGCCAAATGAATTTCCTGAAGACTTTTACTCCCAAAGGCTTTTCTACCCACGCCATTATGGTCAACTCTACTTTGAGATGACAGCTTTCCTTCAGTCATCTTTTGAATGCCTTCTAACCCGAGTGGCTCATCATCTGGCAATGCTCTGTGTCTATTCATGAGGCTTTCATAATTTGACAATGTTCCACTGCTATTCATATGATTTTCAGTGAACAGTTTATTTGTTCCTTGTAGTTTTTTCTTAGTCTGGAAGCTCTGCTGAAACCTATTTCCTTTAAGTGACTGCTGGTATTTGAAATACCAGACCCAGCTTTCAACATTGCAGTAACATACAAGGTATGAAAAACTGATAGACAAATGGTGGGATCAACCTGATGACAGTGGTTATTTGTAAAGGAAACACACACACACACACAACTGGATAAAAGGCAAATTATGCCCATCATCAGGAATGGCATACTGTTTGCAATAAAAAGCAATGCTCTACTGACACAAGATCGAGGAATCTCAAAAACAACTATATTCAGTAAAAGCAGTCAGAGAAAATGTAAACACTATGATCCCACTTACACACAATTGTGTAAAAGCAAACAAGTTTACAGTCACAGAAAGCTCAATGAATGAACTAATTTGATAACCAAGGTGTTGGGGAAAAAGCTTCGGATGATAGACAACCCCATTACCATAATTGTGACTGTGTTAGCCGTATTGACTAGAGAAACAAATCCAGGGACATTCATATATGTATAAGAAAGAGCTTTATATCAAAGAGCAATTGTATATTGAGAAAACATTCCAGCCCAGTACAGATCAAGTCCGTAATTCTGATATTCGCCCATAGTTTATATATCCAATATTAGCAATGCTAGTCTACAAATTTCTCTTTAGACTCATTGCAATGCCAAATGCAGGAAGATCACAAGCTTATGGGTAGAAAGTCTTGTGGATCCAGTGGCAGAGGAAGCATCTGCTGGTGTGGGTTCCCATGTGGCTCCTCAGCTGAGTGTCTCAACAGCAGGAACATGCAGAGATCCGCCTCTTCTGATAGCAGAATCAAGGGGAAACTCCCAGTTCTCATGAGAAGGCCATGCCCACAAGGAGGCATCAATCAACCTGTTAGACTAGACTCCACCCCTATAACCTATTTATCAAGTTGACATGAAATTCTCTAACTACCACAGTGGCCATGGTTCCATCTTTTTTTTTTGGTCCCATCTCTTTCTAATCAATTCTACTTCTATATAGCTGCTTCAGAAGCTTCCTGGGTGGCACAGTTTGCATTCAACCGATAACCTAAATCTTGGGAATTCAAAACCACCCAGCAACACAATAGAAAGGGCCTGGTAGTTTGTTTCTGAAACTTGGGTTCATGAGTCAGAACCTACAGCAATTGTTATATTGCTGTATATAGATTCTTTAGGTACCCCAAAAACCAAACCAAACTCTCTGCCACGGAGTCAATGACGACTCATAGCGATCCCCTGTGGGTTTCTGAGACTGTAACTGTTGGCGGGAGTAGAAAGCCATCTTTTTCCCCTGGAGCTGCTGGTGGTTTCGAACTAGAGACCATGTGGATAGCAGCCCAACTGGTAACCACTATGCCACCAGGGATCCTACCAGACTACACAGACTGTAGCCTGTCTCGTTTATTGGAGTTCTGGTCATTGGGTTCAGGGTGCGGTATGGTGGGGGAGGGGCAGAGGGGCACACGAGCCACATACCCACAAATCCTTTCAAATAAGTCCCCTACCTTAAATTGAATGGTACGTCGAACAGTCCTTACACTTTTTTAAAGCCCTTTCATAGGATCTTCAAGGCCCACTCACCTCTCTTGGAGCCGTCTGAATTCAATCCACTCGTTCTTATCTTAGACTCGTTTATTTTTAGTGCTAACACTGATAGTAGCTACAGGAACAATTTGATTGTACACATTTTGTTTATTATGTAGATTTTGGGCTGTTTAACCAATTGGCTAAGGGGTGCTGGTGGCTTATAGACTGTTAACCCAAGGTCAACAGTTCAAGTCTACCAGGCACTTGGCAGGAGAAAGATGAGGCTTTGTACTCCTGTAAAAATCTATAGGCTTGGGAACCCAGAGCAGTTCTACTCTGCCCTACAGGGTTACTGTGAGTCAGAACTGATTTATGGCAGTGATTTGGGATTTTAACCTAGTCTAAGTGGGTATCATTTAGCATAATTCTCAAATTGTTCTGTGACCCTCCTCTATTGAAACACCTTATGGTTACTTTAAAACCCATCTCAATCACTATAAGATATTACACAAAAGAAATTCCACAGGTATTAAATTCATAGCAACCCTATTTAAGATTTCTGAGGCTTTGTAAAAAATCTTTTCCAGAGCAGACAGCCTCATCTTTCTCCTGCAAGGCACTGGTGGGTTTGAACCACTGACCTAATAATTAGCTGCCAATGCTGACCTGACAGTGCCACCAGGGCACTCCTAAGATACTGGGATAAGTAAAAAAAAATACTCAATGGGACCTGGAATTTCACACAGAACAACTAAATACGTCTATTCAATATCCTTCTAGATGCAAATGCAGCCTGCATTTTTTTTCAATGCCATCAGCTAATTTTTTGTAATTTGGATAATTTCAGAGCAAATTGGTTTTCCCTTCAACAAGGCAGTTTCATGACATTTGATTGCATTCCTTACAGTTGGACAGCACTCTTCCCAAACTTTCACTACTTCTATTCCTTTCTAAGCTTCAATCACTAGGCAAATTCCTTTGATCTCGATTGATTAGGTGTCTACCTTCCTGGTAGTGTTGATGTTATTGGCCCATTGTTTCACGCACAAGGTTTTCCTGTCCAGGGGAGTAGGAGTCAATTTTTTACTCATAGTAACCCCAAGCGACACAGAACTGCCCCACAGGGTTTCCAAGTTTGTAATCTTTGTGGAAGCAGACTGCTACTGCTTTCTCCAGTGGAATGACTGGGGGATTTCATTGCAGCCAAAGCACTGGGCTTCTTCTGTAGATTGCAGCAGACATAGGCTAGAAACGACTCAATGACTATAGGTTTGTTTATCTTGGTTACTTTTCAGATAGCCAGGTTTTTGTTCAACTGAGCTAACTCAGTGCTATCAAGTTCATTCCAAATCCTAGGACCCCTCAGATAGGGTTAACAGATTGCATTTGCTTGGATCCACAATTTGCTCATGGAAGCAAATCAAGAGATCCTACATCGTGGAGTGCCAGGTGGTTATGAATTACTGACTTTGCAGTTAATAACCCAACTTGTAACCCACTCTGCCACCAAGGCTCCATCCAGGCACATGTAAATAGCCATTTTTTTTTGGTTTATTATAAACAGTTAACCTTTTTTGACTTAGCCGTTACCAATATGAAGCTCATAATTTTATTCATAACAGGAAGCGGTTTTTTTTACATATATATACACACACAGAATATTTTCTATATTTACCAATAATACACGCACAGCGTGCACAGAAAACTGACATAGGTGGCTATGCAGCTTGCAAAAATACTGTACAATATGTGGATTATTTAAAAAGATATGGTATTTCCATATACCTAACACAAAAATATTGAAATATTTACATAAGCACAAAAATATTAAAACAGACTAGAAAGAAGGAAAACAAACAGGATATACAAAGGTCTTTAGGGGTTGGGGATACACACTGAAAGAGGGTACACACACTGAAAAAAGAGTTTTAAGAAAGGTGACATTTAAATTCATATATTCCAAAAGCTGTGATTTCACTTGGTATTAATTTAGTAAGACAAAATAAAATATGTCAATGTAATTAAGATTTAAGATTGCCCAGGTAAAATTACTTGGCCTTCCTTTACTATAATACTGAATCAATAGTTTTACCCTCACAATCACAAAGGTCAAATAACTCACTAACCAGTTTTCCTTTTAATAGAATCTTCAGTTTTCTGATCTATAGTGACAACACTGTATTTCTTCACATTAAATTCTAATAAAATGTTTCAAGAGGTTGTATACCCTCTTTATTCACTAGGGAAAAACTTCCACACACATTAAAACTGAAAACCACAGTACATTTTTATAAATTAAAACCTAGCACCTTCTAGCTAATTGTCATGGTCAGCTACATTCGATTTAGCAAGAGATCACAATCTCCGTAAATTCTTTTTGCTTTTTTTAGTACCGGGCAGAGGTCCCATTTTATAACTGGCCTTTAGAGGTTTGCCATTGGAACAGTTTTTGGAGGCATGGTAATCACAGAGACATCTTGTACAATAATCAAATCCACAGCTTTCTCGTTTGCAGGTGGCTCGTTGTAAATAGTCATCATATTTGGCAGGTGAATTACAACGGACACAGGCTTTGAGGCTCTCATTATTTTTCAAAGTCCTGGCAGCCTAGTAAGTGGGAAAAAAATCCATAAACATACGTAAGGACAGGTATTGTATTTTTTGCATATAATGTGCATATAAAAGTACTATGCAGACAGTGCACACAGAATGAGCAGGCAAGGGGACTGTATCATTTGTAAAAAAATAGTGTGCAAATGTTTTGCATAAAAACTCAGTAATCAATAAAGCTAAGAAGGGCACACAAGCACAATGAGGTAAGAACATTAAGGTAGTGGGTAAGGAACTTCAACTCTCAATTCAATTCACCTTATTCACCTCTCATCCCCCCTCCCAATATATATCCAAACCCAAACTCACTGCCATCGAGTTAATTCTGACTCATAACAAGCCTATAGGACAAGGGAGAACGGTCCGTGTGGGTTTCTGAGACCGTAACTCTTTATGGGAGTAGAAAGCCTCATCTTTCTCCCTTAGAGTGACTGGTAATTTTGAACTATGTGTTAACTACTATACCAGAGGGCTCCAAAACATATACAAAGCATTGATTTTATACTTAAGGCAAAGCCCATGCTTAAGGAAATATGGCACGAGTGAGAGAGATCAACAGTTTATATAGCCATTTCCTATTTTACAGAGAATTTAACCATGCCTCAATGCCTGCTTTAAATAAATGTCATCTTTTCTGTGATGCCTTCCTAGTCCAAGGAGTTATTCTTTTACAGCTACTTCGTTTTAGAGCTCTTATCACATTATAGATTCCTAGGTGGCACCAATAGGCATGTGGCTACGAACAGGAACCACTCAGAATCACCTTGGAAGGTCTGATGACCTACTTCTCAAAGTTCACAGCCAATGAAAACCCTACAGAGGGTTTTACTCTAGAATGGATGTGAGAGGTCAGCAGTTCAAACCACCAGTGGCTCTGCAGGAGAAAGGAGAAGCTGTCTACTCCTGTAGAGATTTAACATCTTAGAAACCCACCGGGTCAATTCTACTCTGACCTGTAGGGTCAGTACAAGTCAAACTTGACTTGACAGCAGCAAGTTTGGTCTGGGTGTCTTATGCGAGAAGTCTTGGTGGCATAGTGAATTACTTGTTGGGCTGCTAACCCCAAGATCAGTAGTGGGAACCCACCAACCCCTCCATGTGAGATAGATAAAAGTTTTATGCTCCCATCAAGAATTACAACCTCAAAACCCATAGGAGTGCTATTCTACCCTATAAGGGCACTATGAATTAAAATCATTTCAATGGTTTATCTTCTTTTCAAGACTGCTTAAGACTATCAAGGTCACAATTTCTTATTACCTATGCAGTATTTAATTAACATCGATGACAAAGAAATGGCTTTTTAATATATATATGCATACTCATCAGTTTTTCCCAATGAACAGTTAATACAGAAATCATTGCGTTGCCATTAATTTGATCCTAATGGTGGTTCCTAATTTTATTATGTAGTTTAGTAAAGGTAAAGAGCCCCCACTGCCTTTATATTCTCTAGCAGTACTAATTATACAGTAAGTAGCTTTATCTAAGGCTAGCTGACAGTTTAAAAAGTTCGATTTTTCTTTTAAAATTCCATTCACAATCAATGGCCCAGGTTTCTAATTTATTGATAAAACAAAAATTACCTCTGAAAACTGATTGTGACGACTGTATGAGTCTTCCTGGTCACCTTGACTGGATAACTTGATTCGAGTATCTTTTTTGAGGCAAGTTTGGGTGGCTGATTTTTGAACAGAAGCTAAGGCTGTTCTGTGCAGAATATTTTCTCTGGTTGAAGCTTGTGGTAAAAACTTAGTAACAGTTTCCTAATTAAAAAAAAAAGTTTTATTAGGACCTAAAAATTGTTTCCTTTACTGTCAGCAACCAGACACTTGCATTTATACACATAAGGGAAACTAGAATGTAAAGGATTTAATCCTATATACAATGTACTTGAAAATGTTTAAACAGATTTATATAATATATATAAAACTGTTCAGATACTTGAAGCCTAATAACATTGCGTGCAGACATAGAAAGCACTTTACAACCTATTAAAGAACTAGGACCAGAACAAAGTTATTCTCCCCACAACCAGTAGATGGTGCCACCTTGGACTAAAAATCTTTCAGACCAGAAAAAGTTTCTATTGATAAATATTAATAATAAAGAAATTGAACTTCAAAATACTTACATAAAACATTGAGTTCTGGTACCAAAATGTGAACATACAAATTTGCTTAACTCTAAAGTCTGAGAATTATGTATTAAGCTAAGATTCTCAAAAACACCTCCAATGTTGCTATTCTACAACTTAAACACACACACTCTTACATGATCTTCAATGTTGATAATATACCTGGTAAATGGATAAAAAAAAGCGTCCTTTCATATTTTAAGCAGTGATGAAGCACTCAACTGCCAACTGAGAGGCTGGTAGTTCAAACCTACCAGATCCTAGAAAAGGTATGACAGTTGGCCTCTATAAATTAGACTTGGCACTGATGATATATATATATATATATATTTATGTATGTGTATGTGCTAACATACTCATGCGTGCAGAACAGCATACTGGGGATGGGGTGTGGGGTGGCTTGAGGGCTTAGGATCTCATGGGATAGAGGTTAACTGACTTCACATAACCCATAAAGATATGGTCTACATCCTACTTTGGTGAGCAATGGCTAAGGTCTTAAGCCAATGAAAGACCACCTAAAATACAACTATTGATCTCTTCCCATTCAATGCTGAGTAAAGAAACTCAAAGACTCAAGAAAACAATTAGCTCAAAGGACTACTAGACTACAGAAAAGAACTATGGCCTCTATTAGGCCTGAGACCCGAAAAGAATAGATGGTGCCAAGCTACCTCTACCAACTGCTGATCAGGATGACAATAAAGGTCCCAGACAGAACTGGGGGTGGGGAGAGAAGGTAGAACAAAAAAAAAAGAGACCAGAGTAAGAATTGACTCGACGGTAACATGTTTATTTGGCTTTACTTATTTAAATAAAAAGAAAATAACATCGATTTTCCAAACAAACATGGGAAAGACAACTAAACAGTACACCCTCAGTAGCTGAAAACATAGTCATCTTCCCCTGGTCAGTTTTGGACATTCTATTTGTACGATGAATTAAGAAATGACTGACTGGTGAGACCTTTCTCCTATCCTTGATAATATTTGACATGAGCACTAATGAAATGCTGTAGTACTTTGTTAAGTGTATAAAAAAACTTACAGACACTTTCTGCATTGCTTTATTGTATAACTGGAATGCCTCTTTATCATCTTCAAGAATTTTCTTCCAGGTTGTACTCACTTTAGCCACACTGGAAAAGTAAATGGTTAGTTAAAATATCACAAAGGGCTAGAATCTTTTTTTTATTAAAGAACATATAATTGTTCCAATAGCTGTCCCCACCCTGCCCCAAAGAAATTTTATTAGCAGTTGTTCTCAATATCAGGCTGTATTTTAGAATTTTTCTGGAGCACTCAGGATTTTAAGATATTTCAAGCCTAACCATTTTAATTTAAATAATCTAAAAAGGAGATTCTGCTTCTGCATTTAAAAAGAATTCCACAGTAAGTAATTCAGGTTTAAAAACCACTTCATTTTCCCCCATATTATTGCTAAGCATCAAATAAGCTGCCCTCACAGTATATAGCAGTATTTTGGTCTAAAAGTATAGAAATTTTAAATGACAACTACTTTTAGCAAAAATCAATTCAAGGTTCCCAGGTCATATCCAGGTCCCTGTTTGTGAGGCTCTCTAGAGAAGATAGTTTGTGGAGCAATTTTATTGTGAAACAGAAAGTTAAAAAAACAAAACACAACTTTCAGGTGCAATAAAAACTCATAATGCCTATGGGACCTATCGGCTGAAACTAGGCTGCTGTCTTAGAGTTAAGCTTGGAAGATATGAAGCTTACATGTTAGAAAGTTCAGAACTGAAAAGGAACAAAGACCTTAATCTAATAGAAAACTTGCACATAATACAAATATAAAATGATGGAAATGAATGAAGGAGCCCTGGTGGCACAACATATCACTGGGCTAATTGCAATGCCAGTGCTCCGAAGCCACAAGCTGCTCCTTGGGAGGAAGAGGAGGCTCTCTGCTACCAACAGACTCCAGACTGCTCAAGTGCAGGTCTGCCTATTCTATCCCAAAAGGTCATTATTTTGAGTCAGAATTGGTAAATACATTCCTTTCATCTCAATTATACTCATACTGACCTTATGACAGGATAGAATAACTTCTGTGCTTTTCTGAGTGTAACTCTTCATGAAAGATGGGCAGAAAGCCTCATCTTTCTCCCTTGGAGTGGCTGGTGGTTTCGAACTGCTGACCTCGTGGTTACCATACCATGGCATAACCACTACGCCAGTTGAGTTTTAGGGTTTTTATTACCTGCATGGCAGACAGAGGTAATAAAATGCCATCTCTCAAGTTTTTTCCACTGACCAATGCTAAAAGACTATTTGTCACCATTCTTTGACGAACTAGTAGTAAGTCACATCTGTTATAAAACACGAAAGCAACAATACTTACTTGATTAAGTCCATACCACTGAGTTGTGCTAAAATATCTGCTAGAAGTAGTTTGAGTCCTCTTCTAAAGAGTTCGCTGAGAAAATCTACACATTCCAGGCCCATTTTTCTGCCAATTACATTCTGTAGTTTAAAATTTCCACTGGTTATAATTCTCTTTAGTATCTCTCGATCTACTTTAGGGTTTCGTTTGGCATTCTTTTTCAACGTTGAACAAACGACTTTTTCAAAATGCAGAACTGGCAGCAAGTTTTTGTTGGGATACTGGTCTGGGCTTTGTGTTTGTAGCAGGCAGGACTGTGGGCTGTCACTAGTGTGCTCCAGGGACAGGCTAGCCTCTTCATGTTCATTGAGGCCACTTGGCTGACAAAATGAGGAGTAGCCACTATCTTCATGAAGTCGACTGGTCTCTAGTTCTATTTCATTTGGACTGTCAAGTATTCGTTGCACATGTTGATTTTCTTTGTTGTGCAAAGGCTTGCTTTCAGTTTCAAGTTCTACAGTTGTGGGGTTCACAATAGGTGATCCAATATATGATAACCTTTCATAGTCTTTAAAGCAGTCCTTACAAGAATCTTCTAAATAGGCAGGAGTGCAGCCCAGTCTTACACCACCATCAGGTTTTACCAGTTTACGTCCAGCATGAATATGGTCACAATTAAAATCGCACTTCATTTTGACAGAAAGTATGGTCTTCTCTTCTTTATAACCTATAAAAAAAACCCAAAAACACACAACCTATTTACTTCAAAATTCCCTTATACTTCCTTACTTAAATTGGGTATGCAGAGATTTAAAGACTTAAGTGTCTCTCAGCATTATGCATAGTTTACATTATTAGCTGCTATCAACCCATTACTTACTGTCTTAAGGTGACCCCAAATATGTAGCAGAATTGCTCTACAAGGTTTTTGAAGTTAGGAGTTTTTGAAAGCCTATGTTCTAAGCCCTGAGTAGATTTGAACAACCAAACTTCTGGCCAATAGTGAAGCCCTAAGCCATGCCCCCCTGGCAAGGACTTAAATAGCTTATGTGTACTTGCCTATAGAGCTGTGAAATTATCTACGCTAAATATGATGTAATACTTAAATTTTTTACAAGACTTCAGAACTGACTACCTTAGGAATTGTAAAACTATGTTTATATATGAGTAAAAGATAGTGGGAAGGGGCTATACATAAGTGATATTTGATGCATCAAAAGTATGAGGTCTGAGGTCATCTTTAGTTTTTACACCCTGGACTCAAGACATTATTTAGCTTTGCCGTATAAACAACTCAGGGAACAGGCAGTAAAATTGGTTAAGACCAGCAGGAAAGGGCACATGTAAGGTTGAAAAGGGCACATGTTAAGGTTCAAGCACAAGTAAAAGATAGGTCAGTGACTATAGTAGTCAGATACTAAACCCAAAGATCACAGGTTTGAACCCACTAACCGCTCAGTTCTACTCTAACAAATTTAATATTAGTAACTATTGTAAGCCACAGAACTACCCCACTGGCTAGGTGGAGCGGGGAAGATGTCTACAGGGGGAGACATTTTGAGAACTGAAAGCCTTATGAAATTCTGAAGTGTTCCAGACGGACAGAATCACAGGAAGCCAGAACAATTTCAGAATGTTTAAAGAGAAAAACCTGCATGGCTGCAACTCAGTGAGCTGAGGGAAGAGTGAAAAATAAAGGTTCAATTTGAAAAAGAGATGAGCCCTGGGAAAGTTTAAAATAAATTTGGTTTACATTTTAAAGAGAATATTGGTAGCTGTAGACAATGTAATGATTAGAAGACATGAAAGGCTGAATGAAGGAGGCTACTTAGGAGTGTGTGCATCTCAAGTTTTGAGAGTGGAGTACCCTGGAACAGGATGACTATAGTAGAAATGAAGCTCACTGAACAGACACAAGATATATTTCCGTAGGGGCAATTCCAACTGAGTTTGAGTAAAACATTATTGTGATTTAGGGTTTTAACATGTAAGATAAAGTGTCATTTACTGAGTTAGAGAAATAAAAAAAATGAGGAAGTTGACTATTTTTCTTTTGGGGGGAGAAAAATTAACACTTACAGGCTCATCCATAAAATGGGACTCAGATAATATAACTAGATTAAGTGCATGGGAGAGTATCATTGACATAGGGTCTAATCAAGACCACTATCACATTCCCTATAGACTTAGCAAAATATATTCCTCACATACGTATACATTTCAAGACAAACCCATGTTAAAGTGAAAATCCTTATTTGGCTTTGTAACTATGATTAGCTTTGTGACTGTAGTTGTCATTTTCTCTAAAATGGAGCTACTGAAATTGACCTCAAGGATCTGTTGTAAAGACCGGATATACGGCCTATTTTGTATTTACCAACTCCCAATCCAACCATGATAAGGTAGTACCATACTTCAGTGAACCAAGTTTTACCTTCTATTAAACTTCCAAGGTACAGACCCAAAAGTTCATGTTTAAATACCACCATCAAATTAGATTACAATCCTTAAAAAACCTTCCTAGTTCCTTCCAACATGTTACTGAGGAAGGCCTGGATTTCCTCCAAATATTCCTAAATAACTACCATGGCGCCTAATTTTAAGCATAGCCACTCCTTAACCTAAGGATTCGAAAGGGCCAGGCCTTTGGGGGGAAAAGTCCACCTTAAAAGATAGTTGGATGCAGAAACCTTATTTCATTTCCTCAAACCCAGGTACAGTCAATGTTCCCTGAGGAGCCCTGCAGTAAAGGCAACTGGAATTAAAGCAATCCACCTAAAAAAATCCTCCTAAAGCCTTCAGACTTAGGATTTTCAAGGGGAGACTTAATTATACACAGCTAGGGAACCTGTTAAAATAAAGGTGTCTTCTTTCTTTTAAATCGTTCGGATTCCTTCCCTAAGGAAAAGGGCATCGCTCAGAGACGGCCCAAACCTAACAATTTCTAGATTAGTTAGGTTTTCCAAAATTTGGGGTCAAAGAATCTCTCTGAGGGGACGACAGATGGTAACAACGAGCGTTTTCCATTCCTGCGAAGATTTCGGATGGGGGGCGGGCGAATGCTTCAGGGGCAGCCACAGCAGCCCCGGGTCACAAAACCAGCTCAACAGGGCCCGATGGACGGTTCCAGAGCGGGTCTGGGGGCTGAGGGACACGGCAAAGGGAAAAGGGGCGTTTGTTGGGCGGATGTTGTAGGGTACCTTGGTCCAGGGGGACCTCCATTTGGCGGGAGCCCCTGAAACGCTGCGGGGTCGGGGTGGGGAGGTGGCCCCTCAGGGCGCGGGCCTGCGGCGAGCGGGAGATAAGGCGAGGGAGCCAACGATCTCCCGCGCCCAGGGGGTGACAACGCGGGGACAAAAAGGAGGGCGGGGGCTCTGGCCCCGGGGATGCGGGTTCGAAACTACTGGGAGCGGGATGAGAGGGTGGGTGAGGGGGTGTAGGCAGGAATCGACTCTAGCCGCGCCGGGGGATGAGGGTGAGGGTCCCAGTCAGTCAGGGTGCGTGGGGGAGGGGACACTTGTCGCCCAGTCAGGGGTGTGGGAAAGGCGGACCCAGCGCCCAGGACGGGGAGCGCGTGCCCGCGGACTCGCGACTCGGAGCCCCCAGGGGCTAGCGCTCGGGCCCAGCGGGGTGGCCGGCCCTCCATCCCCTCAGAGAACCCCGCTCTCTCCGAGTCCCAGGATCGCTGCTGACGTCCCCCGCCCGGCGTGTGTTCGCGCACCTAGGTGCAGGTCACCTCAGGTGAGGGTCGCGGGGTCACCACCCCACCCCCTGGGGCGCGGCTCTGCCTCGGCCTTCTTCCCTCACTCACTGTTGGTGGGGCGCGGGAGCTCGGCGGCGGTCAGGGGGCTCCGGCGGCAGGTGCACGAGGCTGGACTTGAGCAGCGGCTGCAAGGGCTTCGGCTCATGCCAGCAGAGATGGCCTCTGCCTCAGTGGAAGGAGCAGCTCCTGCAGGTCCGACTCCCGCCGCTCGCTTCCCAGCGCCGCTATCAGGCAAAAGGCGCCAGCTGGTACTTTTAAAATCTTTGAATTTGGTGCCCAAATCTGCGCCGTCCAATAGGACGCGTCGCTCTCGGAGGCCGCACCAATAGAGAGGCGGTGGGCGGGGACGCCGCCAACCTCGACCAATCCAAAGACCCGGAGGCGGGGCCGGTCTCTTCGTCTGGCCTGCCAGTATCCCACCGCCGCCCCGGCGCATCCTGAGAGATGCTCAGGTCAGGGCGGGACCGGGGGCGGGGTTATCCAGCAGAGGCGGCGGCTCGCCGCACGTGGACGGGTCCTACCACGCATGCGCCCGGCAGCCCGCCAAGTTCCCATCCACAGGCCTGCGAATCCTGGTTCCATCCTGAAGGCAGCTCCAGTTTCCGTCTGCATCTGTCCGACGAGTGCACAGGGTAGCCGGCTCTCTTTGATCATCTCACAAATGGTAGTTTGGTGAGCGGCGCCTCCGGTTGTCCGGGAATCCCAAGTTTCCGGAAGAGGAACCCTCCCCCCACCTCTACTTATCCCGCCTCTCTCGGATTTACGCGCGCGCTTCTTGTTCCCTCGTAATTCCGCCCCGCCCCTGCCCAGGGCGTCTGCGCAGCCCGGGCTGCGGGCGTGGCCTTAGAGTTGGCGGGTTGGAGCGTGCGCGTTGGAATGCCCCGCGTTTCCCCCCGCGGGCGGGAGGAGCGGGGCTGCGGTGGGCGTGTCGGGCCCGCCGCGCGGGAGCACACGGAGCGGCAGAGGTGGCCACGTCTGTGGCGGGAGACCTGCCGCCCAGGGTCTCCCTGGGACCTTCCGGAGGGGGTGGGGAGAGAGGCACTTTTTTCCTGTTAGCGCATTTCTTCGCAATGGCAACCCTATGTCGCTCTCCACCATTGTTTTGTACGCACGTCAAGTTTCTTATGTTTGTATAAAAAAGAATTTGTATGAAAATGGTTGCCGTGAAAACCCCAGGCCACTTTGCGTAGGGAATTCTTTTCTAGTCGTGGCAAGAGTGGGTGTAAGTCTAAGGTCTTTGATGGGAAGTGATACAGTATTATTTTTTTATTGGGTGTGTGTCACTCAAGCGGGACAAAGTATTTCCAGCACCCAGCTTCTGATCACCATACAGGCCAGCCACAGAGTAAACTCCATGAGGCCCCATCCGCAGGCACTCCTGTTCCCTCGCGTCCTCTAGCTCAATATCTGCACCCTAATCTGCATCCCAAGTGGGGCAGGGACCCGAGGTGGTCCCGCCTCACTTTTCAGTTTTAGATATATCGGATTCACATTGTATTTCTCTTTGTGACCGAAAGTTTTGGCTGCAGTAGAAAATTTTTTCTCCCAAGGTCAGCGGTTTCAAATTGCTGGATTGCAGCACTGTGCCACCAGGGCTCCTAGGAAGTTTATATACTAAGTTGGGAAAGTGACAATGAACACTTTCAGAAAAGCGAAGAGGAAAATAAAATAATGTTAAAGGGTAGTGTGTGAATTGAGAGGTGGTAGCGAGGGATGCCTCTGGCGTTTTACCTAGGCGGCAGGACAAAGAGCTGACTATGCAGAGACCTGCTTACTAGCTAGATGGGTGTGCCCCTATTGCTGGGTTCAGGGGAAAGAAGACCAGGAGTGGCCAGAGTGTAGTACGTGAGGTTAGGGAAACACCAGCGTGTAGGTTTACTCATACAGTTTGCCCATTTCTGATCACAAAGGATATTTATATGCACGGGAGTTGTTTGTTGAATAGTAAGCCACGACAGCTTCTCCTTTGGGGCCAAGTACTTTTTAAAACGTTAGCTTCCAATTCTAACAATTTCGGGTTTTTTTGTTGTTTTTTTTCATTTTCTGATGATGAGGCTTAGGACAGTAATTAGGTTAATTCGCACAGAACCAGATACCTAGTTGTAAGTGAAGATGCCTATCCTCATCTTGGGGATTCAAAAAGTCTGTATTTTTTTCTCCGTGTTACGCTGGAGAATATTTGCTGGACTCTTGATTGCTTATAGCGCATTTCTCTTCAATTCTCTCGTTTGATCATAAGAAGTCAGCTGTATTTTACGATTTTATTTTCAAACGTGGAAGGAGATACATTTTAGGGGCAGGTCCACATTAAATTAGGGTGTCTGGAATATAGTCTTTGGGTCATAACTGTATGAAAGGCATTCTAGGTATTAAAAAACGTCAAGCATGTCAGAATGGACTCGGTGGCCAGTAGATTTGTTTTGGTTTGGGGAGATGTTGTCAGTATTTTTTATTACTTGTTGACTCTGGAAGGTATTTGAGGTTTAATAAGTAAGTAAGCAGGTGCTTACCTCTATTAGGAAATCTGACCGTGGCTGTTAGGTAGAAAATGAATTGCCCAGAGAATTTCCCTATTCTTTCAGCAAATTCTTAGGCAGACCTATAGCATGCAAGCTTCCCAGGGATTTATGTCAGTGATCAGCACAGTGTCTAACAATTTATGCTTGATAAATTTATAAATTCAGAGAGGATGAGGTGTGTAACACGGAACATCGAAGGCGTCAGATACATCAAAAGTTACAGCAGGGTTTTTCATAGGGCACAGGAGTCACTTCTGTATGCTAGGTTAAGCGAAGTCGATGGACAGATTTTTCAGTCTTGGCACTGGTGGGCCAGAAGTTTATTGTGGCCAGCTGCCCTGGACATTGTTGAGTGTCTAACAGGACCGCTAGCCTCTGCCTTTTTCTTCCACTTGTGACAAGTCTCTCCAAACATGATCAAGTGTCTCTTCAGGGGCCATAACAACATACCCTACTCTAGGATTCCTTTGATGGATATGGGCATAGGGAGGCATGGTATACTGAACAAAATGAGGGAAAGCTTAAATGCAGGGTACATTTATTAGGAAAAAATGTATTATGTAGAAAAAGGGTGGCATAGTGGTTACACATTGGGCTGCTAACCTCTAGGCCAGCAGTTTGAAACTACCAGCCACTCTGTGGGAGAAAGGGATTTCTACTCCAATAAAGAGTATGGTGTCAGAAGCCCACAGGGGCAGTTCTATCCTGTCCTATAGGGCCCGCTGAGTCAGACTCAATGGCAGTGAAAAGGAGGAAGTGAGTGAAAATAGGCTACTAAGAGATTATGCCGTTTACAAATTCACTGCGATCAAGCTGATGCTCATGGTGACCCCATAGGACAGGGTAGAACTGCTCCTATGGGTTTCCAAGCCTGGAACTCTTTAGAGTAGAAAGCCCTGTTTCTGCCCTATTATGGCTACAGATCATGGATATATTGAATGCAAGAGCTGGGGTTTCACTTGAGGGGCAGCCTACTAAGATTTTGAGTAAAGGAGCCACAAGACCAGAGCCTTTTGCTTTTAGGAAGATTAATCTGGTTGTTTATCTGAAGTAGAGCACACAGAGAGAGAACATCGGAGAAAAGTCAGGACTATAATATTCCAGGGGAGAAGCCTGTCTTGACAAGAGTAGCAGCAATGGAATTGGAGAGGATTGGAAAGTTTGCAGTAGGAAAGCAGGGATTAGCAGTAAATTCATCGTAAGCATGAGTTCTCAAAAATGATGGCAGATTATTAAATTTGGGAGGGAGATTGGTAATGCTGTAAAAAAATGCACACAATGAGAAACAAGTTGTAGAGGAATGTGACCAGCTTAATTTTAAACAGCACTGTCTTTATGTGGTCAGTCCTATTTATATTGAGCTCAAACATAGGAATAATCGTGATGGTGCAGGACCAGGCAGTGTTTCATTCTGTCATGCATGGGGTTGTTATGGGTTAAAACCAACATGATGGCACCTGACACCACTATCTGTTGGTACAGCTTCAAAATTGCCATTCTAGCAGAGTGAATTTTGATTTACTTTGGTGTAGTCTGCCTTTTTGACGTAGAGTTCAAGTTCAGTCTTTTTGAATAATACTTCTGGTTTCTTAAAAATATTTTAACCATACCTGCCTTTTGGGCATCTCTTCAGTGCTTTTACTTGTTAGGCACCATCAAGCCAGTTCTGACTCAGTGACCCTTATGTACGACAGACTGAAACACTGCCCTGCTCTGCCCATCCTTGCAATCATGTTTGAGCCCATTGCTGCAGCCCTCTTGTCAATCCATCTGAACGAGGGTGTTCATCTTTCCCTACCCAAGCATGATGAACTGGTCTCTCCTGACATCGTGTCCAAAGTAAATGAGAAGGATGTCTTGTCAGCCTTGCTTCTGAGAAGCATTTTGGCTGTACCTCTTCTAAAACAGATTTGGATTTTGGCAGTCCAATATTCTCTGACAGTAATCCAATGTTTCCGCTCTTGCGCAGCCTTTATCGTTCAACTTTCAAAGGCATATGAGGCAATGGCAATACCATGGCTATGATAGGGACACCTTGTCCCTCAAAGTGACATCTTTGGTCAGTAACACGTTAAAGAGGTCTTATTCAGCTGAGTTGTCAAATGGCAGTCTGTCCTTTCATTTCCTAATTACTGCTTCCATGAGCATTGATTGTGGGTTCAAGTAAAATTAAATCTTTGACATCAGGTTGTTGTTTTTTTTCATGATACTGTTCATTGGACCAGTTGTGAGGGTTTTTTTATATTGAGTTGTAGCCCTTCCTGAAGGCTCTAGCCTTTATCATTTAGTGTTAATTATGTTATATCTTAAGTGGTGAGAATTAATAATCTCATCCATTAATGAGATGACTGGAGAAAGTATATCAGTATTTGTTCACTTTATGCCTCACCCCGCTCTTCCACTCACTTATTAAACAATCTTGAGACAGGAGTAAACCAGTAAGTTCTGGTATTAAATCTTGTATTTTTTTTGAGTGCTAGGTTGCCAAAGAGCTAGTTTATAAGGGGATCCCTAAATCCATTTTGACTCCCTACATAGGCTTAACTTTTGAGTTCTTTCTGACCTTTGGTAGGCAAATATAAAAAAAGCTTTGTCCTCAGGCAATTAGCTGCAACAGGCCTGCCCTGTCCTGCGAGCAGCATTCTAGCTCTCTAGAAGTTGCCTTGGGCCTGCCCTTGATGGGAATTGGGGTGCAGGGCCACACGGTCATGAGTCATACCCTGACCAAAGTGATTGGAAGGCCCTGACCCAATCTTGTAAACCTTCCCAATCTGCAGTAATGAATGGATTCCAGTCATTGCTTCAGTCCTGCTTGTACCTGTGATGGCTTGATCTCCCACTGATCATGATTCTGTCTGTGTCATCCCCATGGTTTCTTTGTCGTGGGAAGACCTAATGAAGAGGCCTCTCCAAATTGTATGTTGATTTGGGGTCGCTTTTTCCTCCATAACACTACCTACGGGTACATGCTGCTGTATAGTTACAGTATGTAAGAATGAAGGAGCGTTGTTAATTCTGCCTAGGGTCTAAGGTACTTTGGGTTGGACACTGACATCTAGCTTAACAGGTACAAGGACTATTTTGTAGGCAGAAAGGGCAGCGGGGAAAAGTGACAGTGCACAGTTTATAGATGAGAAGGCTGTGTAGATGATCTTTTGTACAAATGTCTACAAAATTCCAAGGCTCTTAAATGTTAGATTCCAGGTTCCAATAGGCTTCATGCCCAGAATTATGGCACTCAACTGTGCTTTCTCCTCTCACTCAAGCTCGCTGCCATGAGTTGATCCCCACTCATCGGGACACTATAAGACAGGGCTGTACTGCCCCAGTGAGTTTCCTAGACTGTAACTTAAGGGAGTAGAAAACCCCACCTTTGCTCCTGCGGAGTGCCGATGGTTAGGAATTGCCAACCACGTGGATCACAGCCCAGTGCTTCACCACATCACCAGGGCTCCTAGGTTGCAAAGATTACGTGTGCTCATTCATGAGTAAAATAGGACCCTGTATCAGCTTGCAGGCCAGCACTCTCCACTCCTCTCTCAGGTGTTCCTTACCAGTCAGGAAACCAGTTGCCATTATAGCCACCCAGTGTTCCAGAGCAGAACTGAGTGTCACAGGCTGTCAATAGCCGGCTTTTGTTTTTCTCTGAAGTAGATCACCAGGCCTTTCTTCAGAGGCACATCTAGGTACTTGACTTCCTAGGCTTTGAGTGTGGAAACGTGTGCGCACGTTTGTGTACATGTGTACACCATTTGCACCACCCAGGGACCTCCTGGTTTCAAACTGCTATTACGGCAATATTTACGATCATGTGCTTATTTTCTTTAATGTTTGAAGTGTTCCATGATGCAAAGTTAGGAAATAAAAATTTTAATCACTCATTAAATATTTTACATAAAACCAAAGACTACTTCTTTGTCTACTTATTTACTTTGTCTACTTAAAAGGATTTACAATCAGTCATGATATTCTTTTTGTACTAATACATTGAGAGGTTCATATAAGTTTGCCAAAGAATATTGATGAGAATATTTATACAGTGTGATTTGCTATACATCTTTTAGTAAGGTTTTAAAAAGTCAACTTAAACTTTTGGGGAAATAACTTCTACTAAAGCTTCGTAATCTGCATACTCCTTCAGTGACTGAACTAGTTCGTCCAGTAGATCCTCTCCTCGCATAAATCTATCAAGGTCATGCAGGGACTTGCTTATTCTGTGATCTGTGACTCGGTTCTGTGGAAAGTTGTATGTCCTTATTTTCTCTGACCTTCCTTTAGTTCCAACCTATAGGAAAAAAGCAGAATGAGGTGCGGTGAGATCTGAGGCAGATTACATATTTAACTGTGTGGCACTTACCTTCTTGACTTATATTATGAAACAATGCAAAAACTAAACTGTCAACATTTTTAATCCCCTAAATGACATGGGAACAGCTATTCTTCAAAGCTTTAGGACGTCAGGACAATTTTTTCAACTCTAAATGTGGGCAACCCCATGTGGGAAGTACCAACAATAACACTTACCACACAGTGATGATATATGTAAAGAGCCGGGCATACTGGAGATCCCCTTGCAGAGGGGTCTCGGGGAGGAGATGAGCCAGTCAGGGTGCGATGTGATGTAACAATGATGAG